TTTCCCTTTCCCTTTCCCTTTCCCTTTCCCTTTCCCTTTCCCTTTCCCTTTCCCTTTCCCTTTCCCTTTCCCTCCCCACTCCCCCCATTCCCCACGAGCCCCTGGGGACTCAGAGCACCCCATGGGAGAGGGGTTGTCGCACCTTCCGGGGGCATTTTCTTGGGTGGGGCGGCGGGGGGTGGCAGTGGCACGAGGCTGGTGACGCGGAAGCCAGCAGGGAGGGTCTCTGCGGAGCCGCTCAGCAGGTTGATGCTGTGCACGTCCCGCGGGCGGAAGCGCTTCCGCCACGACGGCGTCCGGCGGAACGTCTTGTCATCACCCTGAGGGACAGCAGAGCGGGCCGTGGGCACGGGACCTCGACCTGGGGAGGCACTGGCACTGCTGCCACCCCACGGGAGTGTACCCGGCCTGGGTGACCCCTGACCCGTAGAACAATCATGGAATATTCCAAGCTGGTAGGACTCACAGGGACCATCGAATCCAACCCTTCAGTGAACGACCCGAACCCACGAGCTCAGTGTTGTGGGCACCACGCTCCACCCACCCAGCTAATCCCAGCTGTGGATGTTGGTCTCAATGCCTGTGTCCAATTCCCTTGGGATGGAGGAACCTCCCAACCCCAGGACACTGATCCTGCAGCTGGTGAAGCTCTGGGGGTGAAGGACTCAACGGGCAGAGCTCCATGGACACCACGCCCCAACCAGCTGAGCTCAGCTCAGGGTCACGTGTGATCAAACCATGGGCCAAGGGCAAGGAGACCTCCTTGGGGTCCCAGGGCTTTATCCCAAGGCTTTGTCCTTTCCAGCTCGTCTGTCCCTTCTCCCCAGCCTGCCTGCAAAGGTGCCTTGGAGACATCAACACTCAGGCCCCATTAAAGACCCCAGGGGATGGTGGGGCCATGGAGGAGACGCTTCAGCCCTTGAAGCATCCCTGTGGCCTCCTCTGGACTCGCTCCAGCAGCTCCACCTCCTCCTGCTGCTGTTCCCAGGGCTGGAGGCAGCTTTGCAGGGGGGTCTCACCCGAGGGGTCAGAGGGGCAGTTCCCTCCTTCCCTGTGCCCACGATCCCTGTGGGACCAGCCAAGGGCACGGGGGGTTTGGGGTCCCAGCACATGTGGCCAGGGCATGTTGAGCTTCTCATCCCTCCACAGCCCCAGGTCCTTCCCCCAAGAACACGGGACAAGGGGCAGGTTTGGCACTCACATCATCCAGCCTCCGGTCCGTGCCCAGGGCCAGCAGGTTGTTGAACTCCCTCTCCAGCACCTGCCGAGCCTGAAAGGAACCAAAACATGAGCAATGACCACCAAGGGGAACGTGTTTCCAGCCAAAAATCCCATCCTAGGAGAGCCTGAGAGTGACAGAAAAAGCCTGAGGATGCCAGAAAAGCCCCTGTGCCAGCAGAGACCTCTGCTCTGAAGGGCAGAGATGAGTTGGTGGGACTGGGGGGGTCACCCCACAGCCGTGTCCCACACTGGCCACCCTCCTCCAAAACCCCCAAGGATGCTGCTCCTACCTGTGTGTTCTGGGTGGGGATTTGCAACACCAGGGCCAGGCTGTTGTGGTCAAAGTTCTCGTCCAGGGCCAGCAGGGCCCCGTGCACCCCGCTCTCCACCAGGTTGTTGGCGTACTCGCGCAGCCCGATGGACTGAATCCAGTGGATCACCTGGTCGTTGGTCCACACCAGCACGTCTGCAAAGGAGCCAGGGCATGTCTCAGGGCCACCCCAGACCGTGCTCTCATGGTTGTGAGGGGATCTGAGGGTTTCCTGAGGGCTTTTCCCCGTGCCCAGGCTGACCCTGGGACTTTCCTTCCCGAGCCAGCAGCACCGGGAGCTCGAGTGCCAGGAGCAGCTCACTTCAACTTCCCAAACCAAAGGCTGGAATAATGGGCAGAAAACAACTGTGCAAATTAATCCTAAGAACCCCCAGCTGCTGGTGTAATTAGGGGCATTATCAGTAACGAGATGTAATCCAAGCAGCAGCCAGATGTGCAGGAAACCTCAGGACAGCCGGGAAGGAGAGGCCGAGTGAGCTGGGGGGCGTGTGCTGAGCATCTGGAACGGGCAGGAGGGGATCTGATGCTCAGATTGGGTCTTTGCTGCCCTCACACCCTTCCTCCCTCCTTGTGCCTGACTGGGGTCAGCTGCGTGTTGGGGACATGCTGAAGGGAGTTCTCCCCTGGAGAACTCAGAAATAATGGGTTAAAAACAGGAGACAGGAGAGGGACCGTGGCTGGGGATCTCCTGGAAGGTTAAAAACAGGGGATGGGAGAGGGACCGTGGCTGGGGATCTCCTGGGAGGTTTCCCTCCTCCTTTTCCTGGACAGGGTGTGCAGGTGCTGACCTTTGATTTCGTGCTGGGTCTCCTCTCTCCTCTTCTCGAGCTCCTTGCGGTCGTAGTTGAGCCTCTTGAGGCACATGATGCCGTACTGGAGGCTGGTGCTGCAGGGACACGAGGTGTCACCCCCTCCCCGGGGGCTCAGGGCCACCACAAGGACCCGAGCAGGGCCCCCCCCCCCCGCCTGCCCTCTCTGTGCCCAAAGGGTGCTGAGGGTCAGGGATGGCTCGGGACAGGCACAACCCAGAGCTGGAAAATGGGGAATGTCCCTCCCTTCCACGGTAATTCCCCACTCCATCGGTTCCACCCTGTCCCAGCTGCCTGGGAGCCCCTGGATCCAAACAATGACAGTGCTGGGGGGGGGAAGAGGGAGGGGAGAACCAGCCTGGGGGGCTGCTCCAGGCTCCAGGGGCAGGGGGGGACATGGCAGGGCCATGGACACGTCCCTGTGGGGCGGGGGGGTGGGGGAACCCCAGGACAGGGTGTTGGAGCAGTGGTTGGGATGTGGAGGCCCACGGACACATCCCTGTGGGTCAGGGGGTTTGGGACCCCTGGGACAGGGCTAGGTGTGGGAGCAGTGGCTGGGATGGCACGAGCCCCCTCCCCCAGGGCTGCTCTGCTGCCAGAGGGACTCCAGGTGGGACGAGCCCCAATTCCTGCCCCTGGTTTGCTCCACAGCCAGGAGAAGGCTCAGTCCCTCTGCAGTTATGCAGCAGGGAGTGTGAGGAAGGAGAACAACTCCCATCAGAGCCGAGAGTCCTAACTCGAGAGGGCGAGTCCAGCCCAGAGGAGCCACCCAGGGCTGGTCAAGGCAGGGGAGGATCCCTCAGATCCCCCCTGCTCTGCTCCACGGGCACCCCAGGGCCCTCCCAGAGCAGGGCACCCACCGGTGGAAGCTGTCCACCATCTTCAGGTGCACCCTGAGGTCTTTCTTGGTGAGGTGGTCGAGCATCCGGGCGTCCACCAAACACTCCATGAAGTAGCTGCGGTACTGGGGCAGCCCCAGGCTCGGCAGCCACTCGTTGCCCACCCACTCGTGGTTCATGTCCCCGTAGGCCAGGGTCTGTGGAGAAGCAAATGGAGAAGCCTGGGAGAACCCTGGGCCTGGTGGAGCTGGAAAATCCCAGGAGAAGGGAGGTGGCTCAGCTCAGGTCACTGTCCCGAGGCCCAACCCCAGGCCAGAGGGGTTTAACCCAGAGGGAACAGTCCTGTGGGCCATGGCTTGTGTCTGCTGATGTCCCACAAGGAGACAAGGCAGCAGCCCAAGGAATAGCTGGACTTTTGTGAGCAGCTGCTTCTGGAAAATCCACATTCATTGAAAGCTGAACCAACTGAGAAATAGGTTCCAGTGCATTCCCAACTGATGTTTAGGAACCTCTCTTTTAAGAATCTTTATTTTCTGGCTTCAAAACAAAAAAAAAGGTCAGTTTTGGGCAGAACTCCCAAACTGGTTCACTTTCACTGCAAACTGGTTCTGGGTCCAAAAATGAAATAAAATCCACCAGAATAACAGCAAAACATTTGACAGTGACATAACCAGAAAGGATGGATCCCAGCAGGACTCTTTCCTCCCACCTTTTTGGGTCATTAAAATGGTCTGTATGGACTTGGGGGCTACAAAACAGGTGAAAAGTAAATGTAAAATAGGTGAAAAGTAAATGTAAAATAGGTGAAAAGAAAAGCTGCTCCCAGTGGGGGGTTCTTAACAGAGGGTCCGGATCTTACAGAGCAGGTCCCAGGAAAAGCCACTGCCAGGAGCAGAAGAGGACCCTGCAAGGTCCCAGGAGCACACCCTGCCCCTGAAAGGTGGCTCTGGAGCAGCCCCAGGGTGCAGGTTCAGACTCCGACAGGCACTGAGGGAACATCAGAGCCCCACATTCCCCCCCAGGAATGTCCAGCTCCCCCTCCCACCACCACCCCATGCACCGCCCCAGGAGGGGTGACACGGGGACCTCACCTGTGCCCAGCTGCCCTCCTCTGTGTCCTAGGGGTGACACATGCAGCATGTCAACAGAAAGGACAGGACAGGTCAGTGCCCGGGCCCACGGCAGGATCTGCCTCGTGCTGAGTGGGGACCCCCCGGCACAGCGGCACCAGGAGGGGACAGAGCTGGCTCCAGGGGCCACCTTGGCCTTGTCACCAACCCCACCAGGCCCAGGTGTCACCCCCTCTCTAACCAGGGAAGGACACAGGAGGAGGTTTGGGCTGGAGGCAGCACCGACCCCGGGGCTCCTGCGCCTTCCCTGGGAAATTGGGGAGTTCTCGTGTCCCCCCAGGTGAGATGGATGCAGAGAGAAACTTCAGCTTCAGTTCCTGGGTCACCACCCCCCAGAAGGGCTGCCCAACCCAACTGAATGATTTTGTAGCTTCCTTATCAAGCTGGGCTGGTTTTCCACACAAAACCTGCCAGGGGACAGTGTCACCTCCCCGCCACACCTCAGAGCCCTCCCACCCAAAAAGCACCTGCCAGTCACAGGTCTGTGCTGCTCAAACAGCAGAAAAAAGCTTCAATAAAATGCCAAAATCACAGAATCCCAGAGTGGTTTGGGTTGGAAGGGCCTCAAAGCTCCTCTCGTTCCACACCCTGTCCTGGGCAGGAACAACTTCCACCAGACCAGGTTGCTCCAACCCAGGGAGCAATAAACAACATTCACACAACAAATCCAAAATGCTGCCCCTGTTCTGAGCCACAGGGTCATTAAGTTGCAGACAGGGGATCATGGCTACGTCTCTAAAGGAGCCAGAGCTTTTGGGGGAGCAGCCACATCCCTTTGGAGGACCCCGAGCCGTCAGGCAGCAGCAGGGACAGGTAGCAGGGACAATATTTGGGTGTGCTGAGGTCACCAGGGTGTGAGGCAGAGGCTTCTCTGGGTGCAGAATGATGCAGGGACTCAATCTCACGTGTCTATTTTGGGATCTCTCTTGCTTTTTGCCTTTAAGTCCCAGCTGACAGACAGGATGCCCTACAAACCCACGGGGGCTCGACAAACAAAAATGCATCTGATGGTTTTTAAGCCAGTTTTAGAAATTGTTGGGATATCAAAGGTTCAGAGGTGGTTTCTAAGCAGGTGCAGGGTGTTGGCCAAGAGCTGGCACACGAGAGGCAGCAGAGATCCCTTTCCCTCCTGGGGTTTGGGGCATGAACACACGCCCAGAGCTTGGTGAGCTTGGGGCTGCTCGGCCTCACCGTCTTGGTGGAGGTTGCCATGTTCTCCATCTCCTCATGGGTGACCCAGACGTTTCCAGAGGACTGCAGGGAAAACAGCAGAGGGGTCAGAGGGAACCACCACAGAGCTGTGGCCTCAGGGTTCACAAACATCATCAAATCGTGGAATTACAGAATTATTAATGTTGGGAGAGACCTTTAACATCATTGAGTCCCAACCATCAGCCCAGCACCACCACCACATTCACATGTCTTCAGGTGACACATCTGCTTGCTTTTTGAATGCTTCCAGGGGTGGGGACTCCAAACCTCCCTGGGCAGCACCTTCCCATGCCTGAGCATCCTTTCTAGGAAGCAATTTTCCCCAATATCCAAGTTAAACCTCCCCCTGGCACAACTTGAGGCCGTTCCCTCTCCTCCTGTCCCTTGTTCCCTGGGAGCACAGCCCGACCCCTCCCGGCTCCCCCCTCCTGTCAGGGAGTTGCAGAGCCAGAAGGTCCCCCCTGAGCCTCCTTTTCTCCAGGCTGAGCCCCCCCAGCTCCCTGAGTTCTCCTGCTGCTCCAGCCCCTTCCCAGCTCCGTTTCCTTCCCTGGACATGCTCCAGCCCCTCTGTGTCTTTCTTGTCAGGAGGGGCCCAGGACTCCCCCCAGGATTCCAGGGGGAGTCTCAGCAGGGCCAGCACAGGGGACATCACTGGTCCTGTTGGTCACACCATTGCTGGCACAGCCCCGGTGCCACTGCGGCCTTCTTGGCCACCCGGGCTCATGTCCAGCCCCTGCCACCAGCACCACCAACAGCACTGCAAACAGAAGCCCTTCATCTCTCTTTCATCTCCCTTCCTCTCCCTCTGCATGTTGGGGGATGCTCCTGGAGCCCCTGGGCCTGTCCCTGGCAGCCGTGACCCCAGACAGAGCCATCTGAGGGGGCACAGCAGCCCAGGGCCTCTCCTCCTGCCAGCTGCTGTTCCACAGACGTGTCCTGGCATCACTGGGGCACCGCCAACCCCTCGAGGGCTTTGGGACCAGCACGAGACACAACCCCTCCATCCCACCTGGGGTCTGCAGCTGCTCCGGCTGCCCCAGGAACTTCACGTGGTCCCAGGAAAAGGCTCGTGTTGAAATGACTGAAAAACCTGTGTGTGTGACCCCATAAATGGTGAAGGTTTGGACTGGGGCTGTTTGGATGGGGTTTTATCCTCTCCAGGGCAGCCAGTCCCCGAGTTCTGCTCCTCGCAGGAGGGCTCAGCTCCTGCTGACAACCCAAGTGAGGAGAGGAGCGTCGGGGCAGGAAAGGGCTTCCCACTGGACAGCCAGAAATGATCTTTGTGCCAGAGATTGGGCTGATGGTCCAGGAGGGAACATCACCTGGTCCAGGAGGGAACATCTCCCCCTCCGTGGCCACGCTCGCCTGGAACTCCAGGACTGTGGATGGACACCGTGGTTCCCAGGGGAAGGAGGGGCAGGGGATGCTGTGGGGGTTTAGGAGGGTCTGTGAGGGGCAGGGGGTGTTGTGGGGTCTGTGAGGGGGTGTTGTGGGGTCTGTGAGGATCTGTGAGGGTCAGGGGGTGTCGTGGGGGTCTGTGGGGGTCTATGGGGGTCTGTTGTGGGGTTTGTGAGGATCAGGGGGTGTTGTGGGGTCTGTGAGGGCAGGGTCACTCACCGTGCGGGAGGTGGGCGGTGCCGAGGGGCTGGTCAGGGACACCATCTCCTGGATGGCGAGGCGGAGCTTGAGGCGGTGCAGGGCGTTGCTGATGCCGATCTCCCGCTGGATCTCGGTGTCCGACAGCGCCGACATGATCGCCCCGCTCTTCACGTTGGCGCGACACGCGGCCACGTACCAGGCTGGCATCCCCACCCAGAGCTGCCGGGACAGGGCACAGTGGTGACTGCCCACTGAGCCACCCCATTGCCTGGCTGAGCCACCCCACTGCCCACTGCCCCACCCCATTGCCCACTGACCCCCCCACTGCCCCCTGAGCCACCCCGGTTGAAGCTCAGTATCAAGTTGATGCCCCACATGGGCTCTTTATGGTTGGACCTTGTGCAGGTGGCCCGTGGGCAGCCCTGTGTGTGCTGGGCACAGCTCAGCCTTCCATGGGATCATGGAATCACTCAGGTTGGAAAAGGCCTCTGAGATCACCAAGTCCCACTGTTCCCCCAGCACTGCTGTGTCACCACTAACCCACAGCCCCAAGTGCCACATCCACGGGTTTTTTTGGAGCACTTTCAGGGGTGGAGACTCCACCACTGCCCTGGGCAACCCCCTGCCAATGCCTGAGCACCCTTTCCAGGAAGAAATTTTCCCCAACATCCAACCTGACCCTCCCCTGGCACAGCCTGAGGCCGTTCCCTCTCCTCCTGTCCCTTGTTCCCTGGGAGCAGAGCCTGACCTCCCCCGGCTCCCCCCTCCTGTCAGGGAGTTGCAGAGCCAGAAGGTCCCCCCTGAGCCTCCTTTTCTCCAGGCTGAGCCCCC